TGACCAAGTCGGAGTTGGGAGGGGGCAGGAGAATCTCCCTTCCCCCAGGACACAAACATGCACAGACCCTCACGTATGAATCTGCAGACCCAACACAAATGTGCCGCCCCTGCCAGGGAACTGCCACCCAGTTCACTACATCAAAGCAGGTCTGGGATGTGGGGACCACTTGGTGAGCCTGGGAAGCCAAAGGCCTGGAGGAGGCAGCCAGAAATATCCCAGATGCTTTGCCCTAGGGACCAGACAGGAAGAGGAAGTGGAGTTGGAGGGGGTGGGCAGGAATCCCCATAATACTATCCCAGGCCCTCTGCCAGCTTCTTTCCTTCCCTGAGGCCGGTCATTGGCTGACAGGGAACAGTTGTGACAATCTCCCTCTTGGAAGAAGATAGACTGCAATGCCGTCTTAACTGTCCTTGCTAGTAGGTTCAGGAGTAGGAGGTGGGTATCTGACTACAGTATTCCCATTTCACAGATGAGGAAAGGGAGGCCCAGAGATGGAATGGGCTATTCCTTGATCATGAACAAAGATGTGGGACTGGATTGAACCCTGTCCACTGATCCCAGGTCCCAGCCCAGCTGCCTCTGCTCACCAGCACTACTAGTCTTACCTCAGAGGATCGAGAAACTGTCTCCAGGCTCAAGCTAAGAGGTGAGGTTGAGAAGGGGCTGACCCCCAAAGGGCCACAGTTTGCTCCCAAATGGCCTGTTTCAGGGACCTAGTAACTGGCAGACACAACCAGATGGAGCCATTGCCTGGACCTCTCCTCAGAGCTTGGGGGAAAGGAGAGCAAATCCCTCCTGGCTGAAGCTTGCTCCCAATCTCACTTTTCCCCAAGTCCAGCCATGGCTTGAGAGGGTTGGGACACTGGTGCACACACCAGCTCCCGCCCTTCAGAGCCAGGCAGTAGGGAGGGGTTCACCCACGGTGGGGGTCATGGTTCTGAGGCTGGGCTGAGGATCAGGCCTTTGGCTCTGCCCCAAGACCCCAGTGGGGTGTTGTCTGCAGCTGGTGAGTTTCCTCCTCCCAGACAGTGAGCATCCCTCTGGGACTTGGAGAGGACAGCAACTCTCCTGGCTGTGGGCAGCCCACGGAGTTCCCAGGCCCTGCCTGACCTCACACCAACCTCCTTCTCCACTTTGCACCCCTAATGCTGTGCAAGGTTGGAGGTGGGGGAAATGAAAGGGGCTGTGTGTCAGACGTTCTGAGCCTTTCGAGAGCATACACCCAGCCTTTTTTTTGTCTCTATGCAGAATGATTGGCTCACAGTAAGGGGTCTGTTAAGTGGAATCCTGGGCCCTAACCTAAGTAGGAGTCCCCAGTCTGATGGAGGAGACACAGCTCCATCCTAGGAGAACCTCCAGTCTGATGGAGGAGACATAGCCCTTGCCCTGGGAGGCGCCCCCACGGTCGGATGGGGAACCCCTGGCCTTTGCTGCCCCTGGTGGTATTTCTACACACAGGGGAGTAAGGCGCTTGCCTGGACCTGACAAAGGGAAAACACTGGACTAGGGATCAGTATGACTGCCAGGCTCTGATGCTGGGACTATCACTGATTTGCAAAAGCTACCCAACCCTCTCTGGGCCTCAGTTCTTCATCTGGGAAATGGAACTTTGGATCTGATTTCTAAGGTCTGTTTGGCTTTGACATCTGAACTTATCATTGTACAACCACAGGAGAGGTTGTCATATTGGGCCTCCCGCGAAGGCCGTGACATCACAACAGGGTCTTGAAAGCTTAGCTTTATGTGGAATGGCTCCTGGGGGGTGGGTGGCAAGGGTAGGACCAGGCATCCAGAAATCCTCACTGGCCCTACCTGTCTAGACCTGTACATGCCCCACTCATCCCCTCCAGAGACAGCTCTTGAGCACCTGCTACTGGTACATGCCCACTGCTGGGCTGGGTGCCACATCCTCTGCATTTTGGGTACTTGAGGGCCTCCTGTAAGAACTGCGAAGAGGGTTGGGCTTCTTGCCCTCGAGAATAACCTCTCTCTTGGCCTGAGGTCCAAACCTCTGGTCACTAAACAGTTTGGCTTTTGGGAAGATGGGTGAGAAGTATGTGCTACGCATGTCAGAGGGAGTAGAGGGAACTATCATTTGCTTTTTTTGGGCCATGGGCCGACCTCTGGGTGGGACTCTTTCATGTTATCTCAACTGTTAGGTCGGAGAGAGCCCAGGATCGGATACATGCAGACATGGGACGAGATAATGGACTCCCCCTGGCATGTCTAACAGATCAGCATGCCAGACACAGATATAGGCTTCTCCCTGAATCCACAACGAACCCCACACAGATACTGACTCATTCCTGAATACCTGGCTGACCCCTGCAGCTGAAACTTCCTCAACTGAATACCTCTGCTCATGTCCCCGCCCCACACCCAACCGCAGTATAAAAAAAGCCCCCCCCTCCCTGTTGCAGTCTAACATCAGCTACTCCTTAATATTACCCCTATTTTAAAGATGAGGAACGGAGGCTCAGGCGGGCAAAGGAGCTTATTCCAGGGTCTGACAGTAGGTGGTTATTCCGAAGGGCTTTGCAGTCCACACTGGCACTTCCGGGTGCTGGACAAGCAGCCTGCAGACAAGGAGCGTGAGGATGAGGAAAGGGACTGGTTGAGGTTGTGAGGGCTGCACAGCTTTCCTCCCACGCCTCCGAGGAGGGGCTGACTTTGGCCCTTAGCAGTCACAGCTGAGGGCCTGGCTAACCAGCTGGCAACTGGTTCAAATAATCTCTGAACTGGAAGGGAATTAAGGATCATCTCCTCTGATCCTGCGAGTCATGGTGGCGTCTCCTCTACAATGCCTCCTTGAAGTGGTTACTCCTTGGCTGCCTTTAATGTTGGGGGGCTTCAGATGGCTAGAGCTCACCCTCACACTGAACTAAACATGCCTCCTTGCAGATCCCATCTACGTTTGATCCGAGTTTTAGAGATAAGGAAAATAACAACTCCCACCTCACACAGGCAGGGAAGTAGCAGAGCCCAAACGTACGCCTAGTTGGGTCTGTAGGTGTCTACAGCTTGCCCTCGCTCTGGCAGCCCTCCAGTGAGACTGGTTCCTCTTCCCACAGACCCTGTGCAGAACCAGCCTGTCCCCACAGCCCAGGCATGTGCCTGGAACTTGGCTCCCACTTTTTCTCCTCCTAAAACTCAGGAACACCCTTGGCCATTAGCTCTGTGAGGAATTCTGGCCTGAGGGTGTAATCTAAACACATTTCTTCCAACACCTTGGAGCCTTAATAACACAGCTGGTTTACCACCAGCTCCCAGAAACACAATTAAGCTGAGTCGGTATTTATGTCCTGTCCTGGAAAATAATTTTCCTTCTTGGTTGAGGAGTTATTACCAGCAGGCTCTGACCCCCTTGCCCGCTGACCTGGGTTTATGATTTCTCTTGTACATGGTGGGTAGATTAGCTGGGGTGGTGGTGGTGGGGAGGTAGGGGCTGGGGAGAGAAACGCTGCAGTGAGAGTCTCTGAGACTCTCATCCCTTCCCCACTCTGGCCTGCAGCGTATTCCAAAGAGTCCCGACAGAATTTTACGAAGTACTCAGGCCTGGAGTCCAGGGCTGATTCTGTCACTCTCAATTAGGCCTAAATCACATCATGGAATTGGGGATTTATTTCCCCCCTTTTCAGTATTATAGATAGGGGTAAAAGGCCCAAAGAAAGGTTATTTGCTAAGGTCACCCAGTGAAGGAGCTGGCATAGATCCTAAGTGTCTGGGTCCCCCATGTGGGCCCTTTGCCCTGTCTCTCGCCTGACCAGAGTTACCCTGGGTCCCAAGGGGAATGGCAGGTGACCCCCACAGGCTTCACCAGTCCCAGAATTCTTATTTTTAAATATATTTTTAGATTTCAGAGAGGAAGGGAGAGGGAGAGAGAGAAACATTGATGATGCTAATCATTGATTAGCTGCCTCCTACACGCCCCCTACTGGGGATCAAGCCTGCAACCTTGGCATGTGCCCTGACCAGGAATAATTCATGGGTCTGCGCTCAAACATTGAGCCACCATGGCAAGAGGTGTGCCAGGTTTTAGGACAAATAAAATGCCCATTTACACTCTAGGCTGCTAACACATGCAACTCATTAGCTCTGATTAGGTAGCAAACTGTAATGCAGGATGGGTTCGGTTCTTGAAGCTGAGCCCACACTGGCCATGAACTATTAGTAAGGAGGTCTCATCCTCCCCCTTCGGGAGCCTGGGTCCCGCCTGGTGCTGCAGTGATGCCTGAGAGTCTCCACAAGGGCAGGGTAAGGCGGCCCTGGAAGTTGTATGCCAAGGTTGAGCTGGCTGTGACCTAGAAAGGGGGCAAGGCTTGGAGTTGAACCCAGCAGACTTCCCGGAGGCGGCGGCGGCGGGGGAAGCTGGATAGAACAAAGGGAAGGAGGGACTTTCTTGCTGGAAGGAGAGACTGAATGGAAGTTCAGACTGGGCTGGAAACAGACTTCCTCTCTATCTCTCTCTGGTCCTTGTCCTTCCCTGCTGGGTGTGGGGACGGTCCGGACAGTGACAGCAGCCCCCGGCCCTCGAGGCCAAGCATGGTGGGGTGCATCGGCGCTTGCGAGCCCTCCCCTGCGTCGTCTGCGGGGTGAGTGCGCCCAGCGGGGTGCTCCCGCAGCCTTACAAGGAGTTTGGCGGAGCTCGGGGCAGCCCCGCC